TTTTTATCGTGAAATATAGAATAACCGCCAATTATGGTCGCTAATAACCAAAATATCCAGGCAACCTTAAACAATATTTAGAAAATAAAAAAATATTTGAAACAGAAGAAAACCTCAAGACACGAATGAAACTCATCCGTAGCATAAACTTTTATTATAAAACACAGAATAACCGCCAACCATAGTCGTTGTCGCGTCGCGTTCGTTTGTGATGTTCAAAAGGAAGCTCGCGGTCGCGACTGTTACCCGCCAAATTAATTTTGGGTAACTAGTTCAAATTTGTTTTGCTCGGAACGTAGCAAACGTAGAGTACGTCACGACAACGATTGACCACTTGTTTGAAAACTCGAGTATTCGATCGCAACTCGAAATGTGCGTGATATCTCCTCGAACGGCTGGAGATCTAATGGTGTTCGCTCGATAGAACCTTTTCGAATCTGTCGCTCGATCGCCGAATTTTTCTGGAGTCCGCAGTGACTCCCCCGCCAAGTGCAAGAAGGAACGCTGATTGGTTTTTCACGTACGCACAAATTACCAATCAACGTGCCCCTTGAGTGTCACCCACCCTTCCATTGCGCCCTTAACGCGCTTTTCCTTGGAAGGAGTAGGGCCCTACCTGCGGGTGCGTGGAATCTTCGCTGTCCTTCGGTGACGCGTCGGAAATTCCCGCCAGTTCAACCCTCGGCCGAAAGTGCCGTTATACGCACGTGTGGATTGACCCTTCAGGAATACCTGGTTTATGACACGTCTTCGGTTATTGCGGACGCGGAAAAGTCGAAATTCTAAAGGCATTGTTCTGTAAGAAATGACTTATTTTTTCGCGGAGCTACGAAGCGTTTTTGTTCTCAAAAATAACCTTCTCGTGCGAGCGTGTCGTAAACCCGGTCAACGAAGACCCCACGCGTTCCGTTCCTGCGCGACGGAACACTAAAGGCATTGTTCTGTAAGAAATGACTTATTTTTTCGCGGAGCTACGAAGCGTCTTTGTTCTTAAAAATAACCTTCTCGTGCGAGCGTGCCGTAAACCCGGTCAACGAAGACCCCACGCGTTCCGTTTCTGCGCGACGGAACAGTCGTCAATAACCAAACTGTCGATGCGACCTTAAATTATATTAGAAAAAAAAAAAAAGAAAAACAAAGAATCCTCAGTAGCGTGTTTCTCCAGCGTAATAAAGACGTTTGGCCGGAATCGTTCCGCTTTGTCGGTGGGCACGTAACAGAGGCCGACGAGGAGGATAGGTTCACGCAGGTGGAATCACTTATTATTCGCGCGGACGATGGCGCAATCGATGCTCGTCGAGGGACTCTCTATTTCGTTGGTTCGCCGCTCCCTCTAGCATGCTAATTCACCGTTTCTAATCCTTGCGAGCATGCCAACGCTCGTCAAAATGGATCTGAGCTCGCGCGTCTAGCTCGTTCCAATTTTCACTTTCCATTCTCGACACGGGAAGTGCGTGTAACGGTCGTTCGGCAGACGATCGAGGAGAATCGCCGCTGTCGCTGAAGAATCTTCACGCGCACATCTTGCAGTTCCGCTATGTCAATTTTTATTAGGTCGTCCCGTAAGTTAGTGTCGAATTTTATCATTTAGATCAATATTTCCTGCGAACCTTTGGTTAATTTGAGAAATTTCATAACAAAGGCGTTAAGCTTCTCTTCATTCCACAACTTTTTCTAATTTAAATCAATATTTCCAACGAACCCTTAGATAATTTGAAAAATTTGATAACAAAAACAGTTTTTCTATTTTTTTTTTTTGATAAGACTCTTTTCTATTTTCTTTTTTTTTTTTATGTAAAATATGTTTCGCATTCGAAACGAACTTATGGGATGACTTAATACTTTCATCTTAGGATACTGCTTTTCTCATTATTCGTCATGTCACGCTTGAATTTTTATTGCTCTGTCTGCTGGCTCTTTGTGAAATGAAGAGTAATGGACGAGGGTCATTTAATCCTTTACCTTGCGATTTTTTTTTGTGTTTACGTATGTACTTACGTTGCTTGTAGCTACTTAAAATTTGGATACTGTATGTTTAATAGACGTAGGAAGGAGATAAAATACTATACGTAATTTACATTTGGTAAACTACCAGCATAAATTGATATTGAAGTTAGAGGTAAAATTCGTGTTTATTTTTGTCGTGTCTTTACCATGATTCGCACCAGGAGTGCATGACTGGTTATTATGAGGGAAAGGGTTAATAAGTAAAGAGACACAGAGCTCTAATTGAAAAAATATTTTAATCAGAAGTATGATAGTTTTAAAATCATAGGTTGGCATTAATTAAACAGAATTTTTAAAAATTAACACAATTTAAAAAATTAAATAATTGAGAAATAGAAAAATTAGAAAAATCTTTAACTTTGAAAATTAGGAAATATTAGGGTGGGAGATTCTGCCAAATCGCTCTTATGAACCTGATTCCGCCTCAGCAAATTTCTTTTTGTTTCACACCCCTTTTGTGGAATTAAATTTGACAGCAACGAGGAAGTAGAAACAATTGTGCAAAACTGGCTCACACTTCAAGACAAAGAATTCTTTGCTGCTGGCATGAGAAAGCTCTAGTAGAGCGATAGGAAAAACATGAAATTTAAAAAATAAAAATTTAATAAA